GCCCGAGCTGGCGGGGGGGGGCGAGGGAGCCTCATCGGGGGCCTCTGCGGGGGCCTCGGCCTCGCTTGCTGCTTCCTCTGCAGGGGGGTCACTGTACCCAAAGAGGGACCACATGGGGAGGCGCAGCGGCAAGGAGTGCAGCGCTGCGCGAGGCTTTCATTGGGGGAGGCGCGGGGGGCAGCGCAGCTGCCGGCGGCCACTGCAGCAGGCGAAGGCTGGGCTGAGCAGCAGCAGCAGCAGCAGCAGCAGCAGCGGGCACCGCTCACGCGCGCCGAAACTGCAGGCAAGCAGCGGCGCTGCACAGCTCCGCGGGTCAGCTGGGGGCCCCGAATGGCACTGAGGAAGGTGAGATCTGCATAGGGGATTCAGGTGTACAGACACCCAGACACGCGTGGTCCCAAGGGGTGACGCGGCGCCGGCAGTCTTTGCAGAGGCCGACGCTCAAGCCCCTCTCCTGGGCTGGGAAAAGGCCTTCAACGAGGCCAGAAAAACCGATTTCGTTTTAAAATTAAACATGTTTTCTAGTGGAAGCCTGTGGAGGCCGGAAAAAAGCAGCAGTGCATGCAGCTGCTGCACTCCGGGTGGCGCCCGCGACCGGTCGGTCACCTGTTCAGTACACACACCGCGTCGGGGCGCGCCTGGGAGCTCCTTTAGAAGAAATAGGAGCTTTTTAGTTTGGATTTTCCGCTGACAATGCCATTAACTGCTCGAGTTGTTGTAAATACTAAGAAAATTAACTGAACTTGGCTCTGCAGTGACACCAAAGACAGAGAAGGCAACAAACAGCGCGGGAAGGGCTGCGGCCCTCCGCGCCCTTCTTCTGTTCGTGTGCTTCTAGAGCCGTCGGCCATCGCCTTTGTTTCTATTTCTTTTCAATAAGTGGAATTCGCATTTCGGACACTCGTACAAACTCAATCAACTCATATAGAGACACTCTTTTAGCCAGTCGTCTGCGTGGGGCCGCTGCCTGACCTTGCTTGTTAGCTTGAGGCGCCCGTCCGCCTGCTGCCTCCCTGCCTGCTGGGTGCCGTTCTTCTTCTTCTGCTGAGGGCTGTTGGCTAATTGACTGCTTACTTGAATTGTTGAGCAACTTTTGGAACAACAGACGCAAAATGCAGCTTTCTGGCCGCGTGCTGGGGCTCCTATTCGCAGTCGGTCTTGTTTGTTGCTCCACCATGCCCGGCGCAGCAGCAGCAGGGTCCTCCCCCGAGGAGCTTCAGCAGCATTTGGATAACGCAACTCAGGTACTGTGTTGCTGTTGCTCAGCTTTGCTGCTTTCTGCCGTTTGTCCTCTGCTGCTGGGGCCCGTCACGGGGGCCCTGCAGCCGCCAGCAGGTTGGGGGCGCTCCGAGCTCGCAGCTTCTGTGGCTCTTTCTCCCCATAGTGTGCTATCTCGTTTTGTGTTAGCTTCTGTCCTTGTCTGCGACCCCTGGCAGTCTCGAGTGGCAGCTTCACCGACTTTCTGAGCCGCAGCCTCATGCAGCAGTTGCCAGTGTCTGCCGCTAGTGCCCCTGCAGTGGCTGCGTGTGGGCGCTGGCACCCGTGAGGTGACCAGTGGTCCTGACCGCTGGTGCGGCGCAGCTGCACGGACGGCTCCGCGGGGTCCCCTGCAGGCTGCTGGCCCGTGTGGCTTGTTTGTGGGCGCTGCAGGTGGTAGAGTTCTCGCACGTGGGAGGCGCGGAATCCGCAGACACTGCTGAGATCCGCGTGCCCGTGGGGGCCACTGTGGTGGTGCGGCTTCAGAGCGTTGGGGGCTACAGGCCAGTGTTGGTGAGTGCCCAGAGTGGGGCTGTGGGCCTCTCCGAGCTTTCCCAGGCTTCCCCCAGTTCGGCCGAAGACGTCAAGCACCTCATAGAACAGGGGCCCTCCATCCCCGAGGGTCTGCAGGTGCAGCTCCCCACGCCTTTCACCCGTAAGCCCGGTTCTTTGCCCTTCTTTTCGCTTTTTTTAGCCTCATTTTGAATTTCTTAGTTTCGTTTTTGCTCCTGATGCCTTATAAATTAGCTTGTGGCCGCTGACCCGTGACTTTTGCCCACGGCAGGAGTCTCAGTCCTTCCTGAATGGTTTAAAGCCCCAGTTTTTCTAGCTAGAAGCTGCAGTGGCGTTGTGCAGAGGGTCCCAGGCCGAAGGACTCAGAGTGGAAGTGTTGAAAAGATAGTAATTAGGACTCAGTGTGGGTTTTATGTTTGTGTGTGGGCGTTGGTGGCTGCAGCCCCCACAAGCGGAGGCGGCATGGGCCTCATGGGGGCCCCCGTCCCGTTTCTAAGTGTAATCCGGGCGGAGGAGGTGGGCACCTACTCTCTGAGATATGACATTGTGAGGCCCTGGGCCCCTTCAGATGGCACTCAATTCCTGCTGAAGCTCCACGTGGAGAAGTCCTGAACGTGCGGCGGGCCGTTGAAGGCCGCTGCTGCTGCTGCTGCAGAGGAGCTGCAGCGGAAGCAGCAGCTCAGGGGCTAGATTGCAGCAGCAGCAGGCTGCTGCTGCTGCTGCAGCGCCGCCTGAAGACTAAGGCCGCGTGGAGGCCACTGCAGCCAGCGGAGCGAAGGTAGAGACAGTAACAAATATTGTGGAGGCTACCGAAGCTGTAGAAGGGCCGCCTAAAGCTTTACTAACTAGAGGCCCGAAGTGCTTTGTGGGAACCAACTTTTAATGCCAGGTGTCAGTTTTCCTTGTTCACGACTCAGAACAGCTACGAGCAAATTAGGAACAACACAAATGAGTTGACTGTAGGGGAGCACCTGAGTGCAGTGCGAAAGGGTATCTGTGGGGGTGATGGGACGGCCTGAGCTAAGCCCCACTGTAGTTTAGAGAGGCCAAGCAACAGGCGTTGTAGCTGCTGCTTTATTTACACAGTGTGGTTATGAGTGGGCAATCTGAACGGACAGACAGCAGTAGGCATGGAAGGATCTACGGCGTGAAGTAAAGCACAGGCTAGTAGCGTGGCTTGTTTAGTTGCGAGACAAGGTGGCTGCATGCCTCCTCGCGAGCACATCGAGGGCCTCCCTGATAACGGTCTTGGATCCCTCAATGTCTTTGGGGATCTCAAGATGAACCACGCGGCTAGGTGGCATCTCGCTTTTGGGGATGGGGAGGCCAGGTGGGGGATTTTTTGGGATGGTGTAGTAGACAACCCACAGCCATCTGTCAGGGTCGTCGCCCTTCTTGGTGATGAGCCCAGAGCAACTCCAAGACGTGAAAAAAGGGGTCTGTCTCGCTAGGTAGGTGCAGCTGTCCAGGATGTGGGTTTCGTTCTCGAGGTACATGTCCTGGGGAGCGGTGTGCCCTTCCAGCGGCAGCTCATTCTCATCGTCAAAAATTAAACGAAAAATTAGCTCCATTTTGCAGCAAACTGTAGCGGAGGTGGCGGTAACAACGGCGGGCACGCACCAGAGACGAGATGCTTCGAGCAAACACAACCAGCGCTTTGTGCGTTTGATTTCGAGAGCGGAGAGAAGCTGTTAACTAAAACAAAACCTTATAGCCACATTAAATGTGGCCAAGAAGCAGATCTGCTGAAGAAAGAGGCACTCGGCAGCGGCAGAGCCTCCGGTTTGCTGCAGTGCAAGCTGTAGGCACTGGAGTGACCTGGTGTAGCGGTGTTGAGCCAATGCAAAGGCTGGAGTGGTGCCTGGGGACTCCACTTTGGAGTGTTCTAGCGTATGCTTTAATGAAATGATAAATTGTAACTATAAAAAACAATTACGGTTAGAAAAAGCTGCAGACTAGGGCCTGCTAACACTCATACAGCTTGTGAATGGTTCAGAAGTACGGTTCTGCCGACGTCGAGTCGTTGTCGCTATTCCCTGCGTGGTGGCTCAAATTTCAGTTGTTGTTCATTCCCAATGCATTAAAATGAATAATTCCCAATTAAACGCCTGCTAATGAGAAATTTTCACTGAGATTGCGCTGGTCAGAGCAGAAAAAGCGTAGCTGTTTCGATGGCTGTGGCTTGCCCGAGACTCTTCCCCCCCGCCTACATGGTGAGCTGATGCTGTTGGCGAGGAGGCATCTGGCATGGTATTAAGAAGGCACATATATATTTCTTCTTGTAGTTGCCTCTGCTCGTCTTCAACTAATTTTGTTTATACTCTCTTTCCAAGATGAAGGTCCTCGTTTCAAGCGTCGCTATGGCAGGGGCCGTGGCCCTCTGCGCAGCCTCAAGCATGGAAATGGAGGCCCCAGTTGAGTACTACTCTGCCGTGACTAGCGAGCAGATTGAAGACCCAACTGGCTTCGAGGCTGAGGCTGAGGACGGCCATGAGGCCGCCTACTCTCCAGAGATGGAAGGCCTTGGCGCTGAGGAAGAAATGGAAGAAGGCGTCATGGACAGCCAAGTCGATGACGAGGAAGACGAGGACGAGGAGGGCGCTGAGAAGAGAGAGCTGTGCCACGGCTATAAGTGCAAAAAGGCCAAGGGCAAAGGCAAGTACTACAAGTACAAGAAGGCTCACTATAAGAAAAACAAATACGCCTCATATGTTGTGCCCCAAAAGGCCGCCGTCGCCGCCGTGCCCGCCAAGACTCCACCCGTACCCACAAAGTACGTAGCTCCAGCGCCCTCCAAATACGTGGCACCCCCTCCCCAGAAATTCTCTGCAGCGCCCACTTATGTCCGCGCCGTTCCCCAGAAGGCCGCGCCCGCATACGTTGTTCGCGCCCCCGCAAAGTACTCTGGAGTCGTCCAGCCCGCCCAGAGCAAGGGCTCGCTGAACAACAACATTCTGCAGCGGCTCATGCTCCAGCCCAGCAGCTACTCGCAGGGCAAGCAAGGCTAAATGCACTGCCACGGCAGTAGCGCTCGCGAAGCACAGCGAATGAGGGACTAGGCAATAGTAGGTGCACCCGCAGAGACTCCAGACTGGATGCCTCTCGGCGCGGCTTTCTTACAGCGCCGCTCTTTAGCGGTTTCCCGCGGAAAACCTTTTGAAGAAGCTTTCAGGCTGAAGGCTTTTTCCTCCTCTTCGCCACTCCCATTGGTGTCAGTCTGTATGCACTTGGCACACTGGCGGCGACCCACTGCAATCATCAGTTTGCATATTTGTCACTGCCTCCCACAAAGACAGCTCTGTGTGGTGTAGGGAAACAGGCAGAAGGCTTTCTGGGCAGAGAAAGCGGCTCCAAGGCCCCACTACGGGACTTGGCTTTTTTGTGAAACAA